GATCGACTCCGGCCTTCTCGCCTGCCTGTAGCCTGGGTTTCTTAAGCACAGTCTCAAAGACGGGCACAACCTTGGCACACGGCAGAGCCACCGGCAGCGGCTCGACTGAATCACCCGGCCGCCTGTACTGCGTGGCTGGCGGCGGCATGACGCTATGGAGGTCGACGCTTCTGCCTGGTTTTCCTGAGAAAATGGCAGACAAGGCCTTATTCCTGTCCCAGGGATAGCTGAGTGGGGCCACAACATCATAAGTCAAGTGCTGGAGGTGCCGCTCGAAACGATCACAGAGATCGGAGGCCGAAGCTTCAGCAGCCATCGAAGAAACCCCACGAGCCAAGGCCCTGAAGCGAGGCCGTTCTCACGGCAGGGGCTGCAGACCAGCCCTAATTGCAATGAAGAAGATTTCCTGCAAGAAATCGCTGCGGGTGGCAGCGCTCGAAGTCAGCAGAGCAAGTCTAGCTGCAGGATCTAGGAAGTTCCACAGCGCAATCGTCACTCGCACTTTGCACACGGGTCCCGAGGCAAAGACGCAATCAAAACTGAGATCGCTAAAGTGAGAGCTCGCTGAGGTACTTGCCAAAGAAGCTGAGGACTCACTGTCCTCGTATTCCATGTAGCGACCCGCCCCACTCGCTAGAAGCACCAGATTAGCACCCAGGGCCTTTTAGAAAGATCCTAGACGTGTCTACCGGGTGGCCTGCCACACCTACCAGTGCTCACTCCCCTTGCAGCGAGAGCAAGCCCTCAAGCCACTATTCCGTCGGGGGAACCCTGGCAACGGTGTGCGGCACCACAGCAGAAGGATCTCGAGGCTCACACAAAATTTTTCCGACTGTGATTCGGAAAACTGCGCAGTTCGTTCACATCAAGACATGTTGTAAAGATGATGCTGCAACTTGCATGTGAAAAGATTTGTCCGATAAAAGTCGAAACGGAAAAGTGGGAAACAAAGGAAAAACACCAGTTTTTCCTTCAAAACAAAATCTGGAAATAATACCCTGTCAATCACGATTGAAGGGTGGCTTCAACGGGCCTGAATCCAGCCAGCTGCTTCGTTGGCAAGCAGGCGGCGGACAGAGTCGGCCTCTGCTGGCTTCCAGTTGCCTTCGCAAACTGGGGAGGCCACAGCCGGCGGACCCCAAACCAAACCTATTTTTCGGACCCAAAACCAGAGGAAATCATTCCCCCTACACGAACTCACACACCTTGCCGCGCTCACTCAATCACTCAGCTGTCCGAGGTTCCGACAATTGACCTGGAAACTGAGACGCGCAGATCGTAACGTGCTAGACGCCCCTCAATGCGAAGTTTTTTTTTTGGCGTGGGCGGGCCTCAACGACAGCAAGTTGCTGCACTCGGTCCCAGCAAGAACTACAAGAAAGCCAAGAACTAAAGAAACTGTACAATCAAATCAAATACCGGTGAAACAGGCCGCGACTAGCAGACTTAGCCGGCAGACGTCGTTCGGCAATATGCACAAGGCTAGCAGCAGCTACCCCCGCTCAGACGCCCCGCTCCCCAGTTAAACTGAGTTGCGCAATGGCAAACGCATGGTCTCCCTTGGTACGGTTGGCAGCACAAGACAGCCCTCCAGTTCAGTGTGCAGAAGCCTGGCAACCCAAGGGTTTGACATGGCCTGATAGGAGGGCCAGTCGCCATACAAAACATCCGAGCATCAACGAGCTTGCCCAGAGTATATGCTGAAGATGAATTCAGGCCCAGCTTCCTGCCAAGGCAAGGCTCGCAAGGGCAAATCGCAAATGACTGATAATAAAGACCATGCAGCATTGCGCGCACCATGCGACACCGTGTATCGCGCAATCCATTGGGCATATCTTCAGCGTCGCGGCCATGGGTTTGGTATCCCATGGCACCCATGCCACGGCATTGAGGCGCTGGTCTGAGGCGAGAGAAGGCCCAGGACTCAACTCGAGCAATGCCTGCCAAGGCAAGCAAAATATTCAACATAGCCCAGCTTCCCACCGAGGTGGGCCTCGCAAGGGCCTCATGAGATCACACACAAGGTAGCATAGCAAGTAGAATGGTACTTGCCGTACCCAGGCAGCCTCGTCACAGCACCACGTGTAAGGCCCAGCTTCCCACTAATAGGTCTCGCAAGGGCAGGAAGGCCATACCAGCACACTCAGCACCCCCATAGGGGGAAGAGTCGAGCAAACTATGCAAAATTGCCCAAGCCCAGCTTCCCACCGCAGCGGGCCTCGCAAGGGCCAGGACTAATTGGAGCAAGAAGAGTCCCTGCAAGGTGGGACGCAAATCGGAAGCGGAGAAAGTAGGCGCGTAATGTGGAAGCGCGTCCTGCGGCTCCATGCTGAAGTATGGCAGTCCCGCCAAGCCAGGCCACCCGATAGCCCAGGGCTGCCTGTCAACCAGTGCCGACTGAATGGCCGCAGCACGTAGGAAATCCGAGCCCTCGTAGAGCTCGAGGACGGCCCGATAATCAAGGCGCGACACCGATGCCAGCACCACTAAAGCATCGAGATCGATTTGGACAATAGTGGCACGCACTTGGAATCCAAGTCGCACGATCAGTTGGAAATTCGTCGCGACCCGGTAGCCAACGAAGGTACGTTGCGCCAAGTATGCGACGACACGGCGTTGGTACTCTGCAAACTGCTGCCGAAGGGCGATGGCGCACAATAACTGCCGAGTGGCAGCCGACGGTGGGGCCCCAAAAAGCATTGGCAGTGCCTGCACCGAAACATACGTGACGACTTGTGCCACAAAATCCTCAGAGATCATGGACATGGCTGGTCACCTACCCTGCGCTACAAGGGCCGACGCTGCAGCGAGGAAAGAAGCGGGCAGCCAGTCAATCAGTGGAGTGAATGTCGTGCACGACGGCCATGTAGAGCTTGCAAGCACAATGCCGGCCACTGACTGCTGCTGTCACTGTCCGCCACCGCACCTCATCGTCGGCACAGCGAAGTGAATGACCCAAGGCAACTACTAGGGTGGGGTGCCTCAGTCGCACGGTTTTGGGGCAATACGGTGCACACCCTCACGCCACCACCGCCGCTAAGCCGAATGGCCAGGGCAGGGTTGTGAAGTGGCCCTCCTCGACCGTGTAATTCACCCGCCCGGTGGCTGCAGACGAACCTCCTGCGCATGCCATCCCCAGTAGTGTATCGCCAAATCCCGAAGAATCCGGCGGAAGTGGGCAGGATCCTCCATGTGTTCGTCGTTGAGCGTATATAAAAAGGTCCATTCGCCCGCTTCGTAGCGCCGATCCAGCTGCGCTCTGGTGAACCAATACGTTTTGGAGGCCTTATGATATGTGGGTACGAGCCGGTAACCCAAGAAGGGATACCGCAGTCCTTCCGCCAGCCCTCCTCTCTCCCGGAATTGTCGGGCCGCAGCTACCCACTCCTCGAAGCTGATCCCGGCCCCAAGTGTATATGACTGATACGGAACGAAAGGGAGCATCGGCACATCTGCGAAGCTCCTGCGCACAATCTCAGCGAAGCGCCCATCTAAGGGATGCTGTCCCAGTAAGAAGAAGCGCTCGGGATACCACATGGTGATCCGCTTGGGTCCCGGGAGCCAGACGGCCAACGCCTGCTGGAGGTCGTAACCATTTTGGGTCCACTGGCGAACCCGCGCCAGTGCACCGGCTAACAGACCAGCCGGCTGCAAGCTAAGCGCCGCAGCAGGCTTCAATCCCAGCGCTTCCTCCGACAGTGGTAGGTAAATGCGAAAACGCCCCTGGTAGACCGGCAGGTATGCAAAGTTGTTTGGATCCACTTACGGATGGTGTACAGCCACCTCTCCCCGTTTCCAGGCATGCCGGATGCGGCGCCCAACCTGCTCCTGCAATGGGCAGATTTCGCGTAGCTCGAAAGTCGCCGACAGTCGCACTCCCATATGGTCATGCCTGCCCTCATTGGCGGCTTTCTGATCACGATCTCTAAAGACCTCCAGAACCCCCACGTTCAAATACGAAACGCATTTTGCATTCCCCCCAAAAGCATAGCACAAAAGTCCCAGTAGCGTGCTCACAGGAAATCGGTATATATCAAAAGCAATCACGAAACGCATATGTATAAAGTGTAATCAAATATGATTCCAATCCAATATAAAATACATCACATACCGAACTCGCTCCACTCGCCCTATGTTTTGTGCAGTGGCGGAAATCGCAGATGTAAGATCTGAAAGCATCTGGAATCTCGGATTAATCAAGGCCCCCTTGGACCCAGATAAACCAAGAAACCGCATTGAGGGACTTTGTCCCTGAGGAAAAAAGCGCTAGCAGTGATCATGAGAGATACCCCTCAATCGACCGCAACGACGTGTGGTCTGCGGAGGATGGAGACATCAAGATCGACCGCACCTAAAAGCGCAGGCTGTCACAAAGATGCCTATGAGAGCCGGCTCCCACAAAAGGGAGTGGAGGGTGGGCAAATCAAAAACGCAAGAGCTCTCTCGTGAGCCGGCTTCGCTGCAGCATTCGATAAAGATGCGTAAAGGCTCAAAGCAAACATGACATGCCGCATGCAAAAGGAGGGAATACAAAATCGCAACAGGCCCGCAGGCAAAAGCAAAATGGTTTGATATTTAAACAGGATCGAGTAAACACGATAACCGTTCAAATACGAAACGCATTTTGCATTCCCCCCAAAAGCATAGCACAAAAGTCCCAGTAGCGTGCTCACAGGAAATCGGTATATATCAAAAGCAATCACGAAACGCATATGTATAAAGTGTAATCAAATATGATTCCAATCCAATATAAAATACATCACATACCGAACTCGCTCCACTCGCCCTATGTTTTGTGCAGTGGCGGAAATCGCAGATGTAAGATCTGAAAGCATCTGGAATCTCGGATTAATCAAGGCCCAAACAGCGACTGCCACAGCACAGAAACATAGGTGGAGGAATCGCCATGCACGCCCCACAATTAAGTGAGACGAACGCCTATGGAAAAGAGGGTGCAAGCATTCAGATTTCAGAAATCGTTCAGGCACTCTGATCAGAGCTCAACGCGGCAGCTTCCAAAGCAGCTTGGCATCGGCTGGGAAAAGCCGCACATCATGACGTAGATCGAAGAAATCCGCGACTGTGAAGCGGTATCTGAACTCTGGATTCCATGGTGCAGGCAAAGGGCTGACACCATCCCACCTGGACAAGAAATCAGCATCAGTGTTACGTTCACCCGCGATGTGTTGCACATCCAGACTGATCCCCATGCGAGTGCTTATCATCGCGACCAGTTGGGTAAAGAAACAAAGAGGCGACTTCGTCGTCAGAAGCTTCGCACATATAGACTCCGCGCCAGAATTGTCGCAGAACGATGGTACGCAGATTCTCATTCGCCCGCCTGGGCACAGGTGCCCAAAGAGAAGCATGAGGCCCACTTGAGCCAATGTTTCCCAGCATGAGATGTCCTTCTGCGACTCAGAGTGCAGCGGAAGTTCCAAGTACTTAAAGTCGGCCAGATCGTAGCGCTCGGAGAACCACAAGGAATCCGAGCCCGGCACCGTGATGAAGCCGCCAATGCCGATCGAAGTACCCTGAGCACAAGCGTCAGCAGCCATGACAGCATCAAGAGAGCGCCGAGGAAGCATCAGACATTCGTGAAATTGATGTGAACCGCACCAATCAAACCAGAATTGCAAAAGGCGCCTGCTCAGCACAGATAAGCGCCGAAAGCGAGATTGAGGATCCGCAATCCTCATCCATACCCGCTTGGAGGTGAGCGGAACTTTGGCCAAATCCGATTTCTTCCACAGTTCGATGTGCCGAGCACTCAGCAGCTTAGAGCCCACGGGGATAGCCGTGCCAGCTGGAGTGGAGATGAAAACCATCGCATCTGACAAGCAAGGAGCCAACGATCCCCACCGAGATGGCTCAATGGAAAAGGACGTCCCCGGCGGCCGCGAAATGTCATCGTACAAAGACGAAAGCCAAGGACGAAGCTCCTTGTGAAGTTGCGTGATCCATTGAAGAAGGCCCAAAGCTTGTTGGATCAGCTTCAGCTCCACTCGGCCCGTCACCAGCAGGGGATTCAGTAGGCCGCGTAATTTCTCCCGTTTAGACTGCGGAACCCGAACTGTCCCAGCCCGATAAGATAACTGCCAGCCTATCCAAAGACAGTCCGAACCCAATTGTAATTTAGGCCAAGACAACCTGATACCGAAAGCTGCTGCAAAAGCCAGAAGCAGACAAGCTGAGATGTCCAAGGCACCGGAGGCCATGGCTAATATCAAATCGTCCACGTACATGGACATGAAGTGAGCCAAGAACACCAGAAGATGCCATGTTCGCATAAAGAAGCCGGAAAGACGCTGCCACCAGTAGGCTGAGCAGCTCATGCCGAAAGGCATGACCCTATAGAAATAGGTTTTGCCGTTGCAGGTGATTCCAGATAAACCACGGTCCCGCTCCTGCATGAGAATGGACTTGTGCGCAGCCTTAATATCTAAACTGAAGGAGCGAAGCTCGGACACCTGTCCTCGAAGAGGATAGCTGGATTGCAAGTCGCCCAGGCCCGGCAAGTTGTAACGTTCCGGAATGTGGCAAGCCGGGTTCACGCCAGAAATTGTTTCATCGACCGTCAAGCGAGGATTCTTGTCCGGCACGATCACAACGTTGAGTTTCCCAACGGCAACCTCTGGCCACCTGGAGCGAGCCTCCTCAAGAGTTACCTCCTCCAAGTAGCCGTTATCCAGTTCTTCTTGTATCAAGGATTCCAGAGTTTCTGGATTCTCACGAGCTCCTTTCCAATTCTCTTGGCACTCCAGCAGAGGTTGCTCCTCCGAAGTAGACACCTCCGGCGCCGGAACAAACACCCCGCTCCTCGGGATGTCCTTGAAGTAACCAGTAGGAGCGCCCGATTGGAGGCAAGCAAACAAAGTGTCGTCGGGATCTTCCAAGGCCTCTGACAGTTGCTGAAGTGCATTGAGAGTGTACGGCTGAAAAGGTTGAACCGACCAGTCCACCGGACGGCCCGTCGTGGCCACCAAAAACTCTGAAAAGATGGCCCGAAAGCTTTCAATCTCGCCCTCCGAGAACAATGGAGAATCCGACTTGGCCTGGACATGTTCGCGCAAGCGAATCGGGGCCTTCAACTCAAAAAGCTTCTGCGTCAGAGCATGCCTGACCTGCTGAAGTCTGTCAACAGTCCCATTAGGGGGGAAAGACCAGTCGGGGACTGAGTAGATGCCAGCTCCATCTTGATGTGCAAAAGGCATGTCGAAGCGACCTTTAGCAGGAATTAGCTGATATAGCTGAGACAGTTGTACATCCAAAGGATTTTCGCATGTCGAAAACAGTGGGAGAGCGGCCGATACATACGCCTCCGCGAGCTTCGCGGGGAACTCAGATGTCTGTTGAGAGGCATAACCTCCGGACTCATCCCGAACCCCAGCAACAGGACGATGAGAGCCCTCAGCATGTGAACAATCCTTGGCCAATCTCTGCATATCCCGAAAAGAGGTAGCGAAAGCCCAGCGTTTCGAGATATCCCAACCGTAAGCGCAAGCCGCTACCACAAGCACATCGGCATTGGCCTTCTGAAGCAGAATGCGGACTGCTTCTTCCAGCCAAAGCATGCTGTTTGCTGGATTTTCAAGGCTAAAATGCCCACCAGCCTTGTAGGTGGCGTGCAGAAGCTCGACTGCCCGCTCCATCAAAGTCCGGCTGGCGTCCACCCGCTCTTGTTCCGAAGAGGACAGACCTGGAATCCCTGCCAAATGTTCTGGGGTGCGCAAAGGTTTCGGACCAGGCCGGATAAGCTTGCACCTGGAGTACTCCCGGCATGGTGGTGACGCATGAGCCGAGGTGACAGCTCCCGAAAAGCTCAATCGCAACAGAGGTTCAAAAACCGAATCATCCAGAAGATCGTGCTCCGAAGCCAACATAGTATCCACCGAAAGAACAGATACCCCAGCTTGCAAAAAGGCAGACGAAAGTGGCCGAGCATGACCCGCAAACAAATCCAGGAAAAGGTTCCCGCGCACCTTGGAAAGGTCAAGAACTGAAGGTGGAGCCGGAAGAATCCCTGCCCCAGACGATGCTGAAGCAGCCGTTTGCCAAGAAGAATCTGGGAGCGGAAAGTGCAAATCCCGCAGCTGCTGCAGCTCACTAGCCGAGACACCCGGCAGTTGGGCCGAAGTATATGCTGTCAGGACCCACCGGTCCCCAGTCCAAGGCTCCGAACAATGTGGTAGAGCCCCGTCAAAAGAGATCCCTGACCTTCGAGTGTTGAAAATGCAACCGCGCAAAGTTTGATCAGCCTGAGCGTCCGTGGGAGGCACACGAGGATGCTCCGGGAATGCCGAATCCGCGACCTGGATCCAGAGGCCCCCTTTGTCGAAAGCCCCCAAGCTGCAAGAGTGATTCAAAGAGCCTGGCGCGTTGAAATCCGAATGAATGTGAGCGAATTCGTTGTGCGAAATGCAGAAACTCGACCATGTCCCATCAGGGAACACTGACTGTAAGAAAAGGTTTACATACTCCACCAACTTGGGGTTTTCCAAGGTGAAGCGACAAAGGCCGCCCAGAGAGCCTGAGCGTACACCGGCGTTGAAATAGCTAGCATGGTTCCGGCCACCCTGCAGAACCTTTGTCCGAAGCAACTGAGTTGATCCTGGACAGTGCTGTTGCAAAACTGATAGACATGTCTCCCAATCCAAATCCTGCTGAGAGCTGGTCTGCACTAGCTCCGCGGCATCGAATCTGCCTGTCCTGACATCCGAGGAACCACCCGAGAGTCAGTGAGGCATCGCCTTACGCTGAAGCGCCGGGTGCTTGCCCAAGCAAGGTCTGCCGTCAGGGCGCGGGACCGGACACAAGTGCTCGAATTTGCAATCCGTGAAGGAGCAACCCTTGGCCGAAGAGTAGTCCCGGCACAGCAGACGAGTCTTACCCTTGTCCTCAAACTTTGTGATCCATTTTGCCCCAGTTTGACCAGACTGACCCCCGTTCGCACCTCGACCTTTGCCGCCGCCCTTCTGCTTGCCTTTGCCCCCAGGAAGCCTTGGAAGACCAGGTGGGATCGCGAACTTTTTGGGCACCGCCACCCGGGACTGCAGTAACGAAGCCATGTCCCCCCTGATCTCCGTGTACTCTGTCAGAGCATCATCCAGGGACCAGCCATGAAGATTGACCAGATCGGCCATCTGGCACCATAGCTGACGATCTGCCTGCATGATTTCCTCAGCAAATGGATTGCGAATGCCCGCCTCACATTTTTGCGTCGCCAGTTTGATAAACTTGCGCTCAAACTTGCGAAGGCTGGCAAGGTGCGCGCCCTGAAGCATCGCGACAGCCACTGAAACCAAGCCCAAGATGCCCGAGAGATAGTTCGCGCCAACTGCTCCAGCTGGTATCTCGCGCTGGGGAACGTCGTCGTATATCAGCTCTTCTAACCGAGGCACCTTAGCTGGACGCCGCAAAGCCAGGGAGTCTTGTTGGGCCTGGCTCATCCTGATTTTCCACGGGATCCACCGCAGCTCTCCTTTTTGAATGACCTTAGCCACGTAAGCTAGCAACCTGGCCGACGGATAATTGTCGGGATCTAAGATCTCCCCCGGGTAGCGGGCGTGAAATTGTTTCTGAAGAGACATCACACGTTCGCCAGAAAGCTTGGGGGGAAACTGTTCAGACCAGCTCGAGGTAGACAACCCCGAAGTGATGTCGTTCTCCTCTTGGCGCTTGCCCTGGCGGGATGTTGACGACTGCTGACGGCAAGTCTCGTAAAGCAGTCGTAGCGAAGAAAGCAGAAGCAGGCGCTGAGCAGTGGATGGCGGTTCCACGGAGCCCTCGAGTAGATCCTTGAGCGCCTCATCCAAAGCTGAGGAATCAGCTGCAATGCAGCCGAAAAGGCTGACATCAAATCCCGCGAGAATCCCATGATAATCAGGCGGGACTTTGCACTGATCTGCCAAGGCCACCAAAGCTTCGTTCAGCAGCGCAGGCAGAGCTTCGGGTTCGCCATCCGTCATCACCCTAGCACAATGGTACTCGAAAGAGGCCAGCTACTAATCTGCATAAAGACTGGTGCCGGAGCCGGCATGCCACACGAGATCATAAGAAGCAAACTCACCCTCGACCTCACCGGCCGAAAAACAGCCGGGACCGCAAGGCAGCCGACGCACCCTGACTGTTTGTCCAAGATACCCTAAGCTACCCGGGCATACCCCGAAGTGAATTTCGATCACAGGACAATAGCTCCAAACAATGCCGCACGCTGTGGAATCATTTGCCGCAACCACACTTGAACGTACTGCACATTCATGTTTCTCCAGCGCCTTTTCTGACATCCAAAATTGACGCCAAGTGTGCATTCTTCAGTCCCGGATGTGTACCGATCGCCCTTGCGCAGAAACAGTCCCCTCGATGCCCGGCGCGCTTGCCGACGCATGCGAGGATCGCCATACCCGACAGTGCAGTGCGCAAACGAAGATGCGAGCCGACTGAAGCCGCTCCAGCCACCACCCTATGACACAAAAATTGCCTGACATGCTTTATGTCGGCAAAATCTGGGGTTCGGCGGAAGCTCAGGTCTGATATTCATGTTATGCGCCAAGGTGCCACATCGCGGCTTGACCCGAACAAGCTCACCGTCCTCGCGCTTCACCAAAACCCCATCACACCCGGAGCATGGAGTAGCAGCATGAATGATGCCAGACGATGTCTGAACCCAAATCTGCTCATCACATTCCGAGAGCCTATTGCCAGCTGTCACTAAGGAACCTTGCTTCTTGCCCGAATCCGACGACGAAGAAGATGATGAAGAATCAATGTCCGAATCAGATGATTCCTGCTGTGCTTCGGGCTGAGGAAGAACCTGCGCTTGCTCCTGAGCCGGGGTACGCGCTGAAGATGCCGATGAGCCCGCCTCCACCGGAAAGCGATGATGAGCAGGAGACGAAGAGTAGGACAAGACCTTCGGTTCGATGGCTTGTTGCTCCGCTGGTTGCTGACCGCCGCGAGCCTGCGGGTTCACTGGTAAGAGATCCATCCAAGAGTTTCGCAGTCTATTGAGCACGATCTCAAACTTAGCAATCCAAGTGACAAAGTCCTGGTTGCCTTTCCACGCCTTGAACAGGCCAAGGAACCGCCACAGGAAAACGTACTGTTCTCCTTTTACGAAAAATGGACGCATCTTCTTCTTGAAGTAATCTACTCCATCTGGAGTATGAGGCGGCCTCCGTGGAACTCATGCCAGCCAACACCAAAATCCCCCTGAATGCCGATAAAGCCTGCGCGTAGCTCATGGGTTGCCATTCTGTTGAGCTGGAGATGAAGAATAAAGCGTCCGGCACTGTCTCCCCAAAGCGCGAAACAATTGAATCCCATTCGGAACCCAACAGAAAAAGGTATTTGCACACCCAACTGTGATAGTAGGAACCTGAGTCGCCGTAGTAGCCACAAGAAACGAAACCGAATGGCATCCCCCGCCGGGAGGATTTTGTTCGATATGAAATGGCCCTCACATTGTCTTGGGCAGCTTGAATCGATGTCCATAAAATGTGTTGCGCATCAGAGAAGCGAAGGCTGGCCGATGCCGAAATGAGAATTGCGCCCAAAAATAATCTGAACCCCACTGAACCCGACTCCAGTAGAAGGGCGCGCTCACAGTAAGCCAAAACATAAATCGGAAGTGGAAGAGCCTCCTTTCTGTCGGAAGTAATGCGAGCCTCCACTCCAACCAAGAGACCTCCATAGAGATCTGGCAGGGCAAGCCCAAACGTCTTGGCGGCCCAGCGAACCGCCTTCAAACCATTGGTGACATGTGAACCTGACTTGTGCATAGACAGAAGAGCATCAACCACCTCAAGCTGTCGAATGGACTCCCAGCGCACGTTTAAATCCTGTAATGTTCCCACGAACTTCAGCAGATGAGCCAAATATCGAACCAAAGTGTTTTCCGAAACCGACTTCAGCAGATTCTGCAACAGTGTGGAAGCGTGACGAGACTCCCCGAGCTCCTGCAACACTGAAGAGATCGTCTGTAGCCATGGTTGAATCAGTGCCCACAACTTCAAGCATCTCTGCCAGACTTCAGCGTGCAACATCGCAGATGATTTGAAGCCCTCATTACCCCGAGGGCGAACCCCACCAACCGAATGTAACTGTGCGTTGAGGGGCCTGCGAGTCGACCCCGCTGGAGCCATCCCAGCTGAGTCTACGACCGGTCCAAGCGGAGCCTGATGCCTGACTGGTGCATGCCTGAAGTAATCTGCAGCTCTGCGAGGGGCAGGAATAGGAGCAGGATCCTCCCTAAAGTAGGGTGCTGAACGTCGAGGTCTAACTGCCGGCTGGGACAGAGGGTTCGGCTCAATCCAGTTGCCCCGTGGGCGTCGAGCAGCTTCTGACAAGCGAACAGGATGATCAGCCCCCGAAAGCGAGGGACGAGCCACAGTCTGCAATGGCATAAATGAATCGAAATCCCCAAGCACACCTTCGGACGATGACTCCATTGAACTTCAACCCACAGACCAGCTAGCAAAGGGTGCCCCGCTCCACGAAGCGAAGCAGATCACCTGGCCAGCAGGAGAGGCAGAGACATGTGAAGCGTCAAAGAGCCAGAGTGCAGTTCCGCATTCCGCTGACCAAAGTGAAAAGGCAGCTGAAGCAATCACCAGCATGTGTGCCAGAGCTAAAGGGTGCCTGGTACGCAGCATGAGGGGAAACCCCCCCCTACGAAAGCGGCCGAATCCCTAAAGCGGAAATGCCTATATGCTCTGTTGGACGTTGCTCCATCTAGCATGCTGCATAAAACCCCTGTCGCCTGAAGCATAGGTCTAAGCCACCCTGTGCACATGATTGCCGCGCTATGGTGCATTTGAGCCCGCAGATCGCAAAGAAGGAGTTTGCTCACCCCTCACGCAAAGAGGTGCAATCGAGCTAGATTGGCACGCATGATCGCAAGCTCTCCCGCTGTGCACAGCAGAGAAATCCCACAGAAGCTTCTGTGATCGCCGCCAATTTTTACCCCTCGAGGCACCAAAGTGCTGTCGCCATGATGCTTGGAGCACCGCTAACGCAAAGGTCGCAATGATGCTTGGAGCACCGCTACCGCAACCCTCTGTTGAAACAAGCCCTGCGATTGCCACCTTCCAGGAGGGCAAACGCAGTGCCCCAAAACCGCAGCCTGCCTAGCTAGAGAGGCGAGCTTGCATCCTGAGCACCGGCCGTGGCAATGAGCAGTCAGGCCTCATCGAACTGTTCGGCGGCCTCTGCGAACTCGTCGGCGAAGCTGTTTCTGAAAGTTCCTTGCGAAACGACCGCAACGCACCAAGCGCAGAGCACGAAGCATGCGCATCTCGCACACATCAGCCCAGGAAGACGAAAAGGTTGGGCGTTCCCCACAGCTCTCCAGATGCATAACCATGCCCCGAAGAAGAAAAGCGGGGTAGCGACCGCCCTCTGCACATGTACGCGAAGCTGCATCCAGAAGCTGAGCCACTGTCGTAGACGAAGAAAAATCCACAAGACATTCTGCAGATCCGTCTCGAATCACCTGTAAGCTGCCATGAGTCCGAGTGTCCCAGTGCAACAGCTTATCTGATGATGGTTCAGAAGTCGAAGCATGCTGCAGACTTTGCAGCCGGAACCAAAGCGAGGCATCCTGGTGAGCAGAAGTTTCGCCCGCGTGGGCTGCCGAAGCCAGTCCATGGCCGTAGGAAGCCGCGATCGCTGTTGTCCGGGGTGACTCACACGGCACCACCGACATAGGGCTTTCAGACCGAGGGTTGGACCAAGGATCCCGAGAGCTCGCCACCAAGTTTGCCAGCCAGGACGATTGCTCCTCCTCAGAGCCCTCCTGCTGCAAACTGTCGGAAGAGGCCATACTGTCAATACCGCCTGCAGCTCCCAACTCAATTGGCAGAAGGAAGTGTTATTTGGTTATGTTTTCATTCTAAGCGCACCAACAAAGCAGAAGTACATGTACACGAACTGCATTCACAGACTGAAGCAATCGCACTCGGACTTCTTTTTTTTTGAGCGAGGGGTGCAGACTGTTGGATTCCGGCTCCACATTCGTGGATGTACAAAGACTGGCAAAACTACGATCGTCCTGCAACGAAGTTTCCGGCAATATCCCGCAAGTGAGAAAAGAACATCCTGCAAGCGATAGGGCAACTGATGCCATTCCCCCCGAGGGGTGGGCGGGTGGGACAAAAATTTTCTCACGCCTGCAAGCAAAACTGCGAGTGCCACTGACATGCGAGGCAAAGCAAACGTGAGAAAACACCATGTCATGCAAAGAACTCCCGCAAGACATGACTGGAAAAAAGTGCGCCCGAAAAATTGTAAACAATTTTTCCAACATGAAAACAATCAAATAAGAAAACATCCCCCTTCGGGAGAGTTTGTTCTTATTTGGTTATGTTTTCATTCTAAGCGCACCAACAAAGCAGAAGTACATGTACACGAACTGCATTCACAGACTGAAGCAATCGCACTCGGACTTCTTTTTTTTTGAGCGAGGGGTGCAGACTGTTGGATTCCGGCTCCACATTCGTGGATGTACAAAGACTGGCAAAACTACGATCGTCCTGCAACGAAGTTTCCGGCAATATCCCGCAAGTGAGAAAAGAACATCCTGCAAGCGATAGGTCAACTGATGCCATTCCCCATTCAAGATCAGGTGCCGCTAGAACAACAGCTCTTCGCCTGGGGCCCAACGGACTCTGAAGTTGGTAGGAAGCTTGCCAAACACAAATCGCGAAGGATCATCAGCAGGGTTCGCAGATGACTCCACTCTTTCAAACCATATGCTGATTCCTTTCTCATCCTCAAGCATGCTGAGCTTGTTGAGCTGCGATGCTACCACCGGTGAATCGGAAGCACACTTGATGAGGGCCGCGAGGGCGGCCTCATTGTCACAATAGCAAATGAGATTGCAGTCACTCAAAGAGTTGCAAAGTTGCACCACACCTTGCACCGCCGCACAAGCTTCCAACTCATAGATCAGACCTTGTTTGCCCTCTTTGTTTATGGCCTCCAGAACGTCTGGGTCGGCAGACTCGGAGTACCACCTAAGGAGCAAACCCCTATCGCTATAAAGAATGCCTCCTAGGCCGGCTGGCGCATCTGCTTCGTAGGAAGCGTCTGTGAACAAGTGGTAGGTGGAACGATCGCAAGCCCTGATCATCCTTGCTTCCCCGTGCAAAACTCGATCTTTCAAGAAGAGCAGGGCCTCGGTCAAGGAATCATCGAGAACCACAAAGCCCGAGAGCTTCATTGCTTTTGATATAGCTCGCATGCGTTGGGCCGCACCCCGACCAAACACCTGCGACTCAGCGAACTGAAGACGGCCACGCAAGCACTCAAGCTCTTTGGCATGCACTCCACCTTGATGCACGATGGACTCGATCGTGGACACGAGCTCACGCTTCCTAGCCTCTGTGTTTTGAACCCTAAGTAGACCTAGGTGGATCTCGTCCAAACTAAACTCTACTCCTAAGGCTTTTGCCACACTTTTGAACCCCGCGTCTTTTTCGTCAGACGTTTCCCAGCCGATCAAGGCAAAGTACGACCGCAACACAAGATCAAGATGGCCCTTTTCCTCCGGAGAGGACACTGCTACAAAATCGTCGAAAAACACGCTCCAGTGGATGTGGAGCAGGGCCTGCCCCACACTCCAAATTGCCCCCGAAGAACGACAGAATCCTTGTACTGATGGCTTAGCGCCAAAGGGTAGCACCTGGCTTTGGTAAAGTTCAGGTTCGCCCGTATTCGGGTTAAGCACACAGATATAAGCATCCCCCAAAGCCCGCTCCGATAAAGGAAGTTGCTTATAGGCTTTACGCAGGTCTATCGTACGAAGAAGCAAGCGGGCGTCCTTTCCTGATTTTCGTAGCAGCCGGCACCGCCTCAGGATCCCGGCCACAATGACGTTCACTGAATGCGGGTCAATTGTTTCCGCACAGGTGCACGTCAAGTTGGCTAAGCTTTCCGTGAAGTCATCGATCGGACGGATCTTTGCCGCTACACCGGTGGCCGTCGTCATCACACCTTGCCTGACGCCAAAGCGGCGCGTAACAATGGCAGTCTCCGGCACATCGGCGAGAGAGAAGGGTCCAGTGAGCCACCCTTTGTCCCGCTCCTCCAAGGTAAGGCGATACACTTCCGAAGCAATTTCAGGATCCCTGCAGGTGCGGGTAGCTTCCCAGATCGCACGCTGATTCGCCGGGGTGGCGATTCTTACGTCCTCGATGCTGAGGGATGCCACGGTGGTTTTCTTCGGCAAGACAGACGAGGAAGGGATTTCACCAAGCAGGTCGAAGCCGTTCTGTATATCTCGTACCAGGTTTGCATCGGCATGCCCAGCAGCTTTGACCATCTCCCCGAAGAGTTTCAAGGGTTTCCCAGCTAGGATCTTCTTGCAATGTTCGGGTCCGTCAAAGCTCTCGTCAAGCTCTTTCTTCCTAAGCATCCATTTGCGAAGTTCAGCCGTGCGTTCTCTAGCCACACTGACCGAGCTGTGCTCGCACAAATGATCAATACATGCCGACATGCCAGTTGGCACACCTTGATCTAAGGAGCGCGGGTGCTTCGCATTGCATGCCTGCTCCACAAACTCCGAAGGTGACCACGGTATGCCAAAGAGCAATTGAAGCCCCGACTTGACATTGGGAGTCGCACTGGCTGCACTGGCTGCAGGCAAGGGTAGGGCAGGGACCGGCTGGCACCGCGGAACCAGGGGATCAGGACTACCTAACGTTACACCCTCAGCAGCCTCAGGCAGGGCAGGTGCCGGTCGGCACAAGGTGTTAGGGGAGTCGGGACTAGCTGAACCCACACCCATGGCGATCGTAGGCATACCTGCAGCAGAGGAGCAGGGTTCCGCACCGGCAGTTGGCTCAGATGTAGATGCAAAGGTGGCTGGCCCCGAGGTAGACGCCATACCCCGTGGAGCATAAGGGCTGGCTCGGAGGCACTTGGAACCTGCCGGCAACGACGAAAGAAAAGGTGTGCACAAGACAGTCTTGGGGACTGTCCAGGCCGATAGCAGCTTGGTCTTCGAGGTGCACGGCAGCTGATCGGCTGGGCCCGACACTTTGACTGTGCGAGAAAACTCAGGCACCAGTGGAGGAATCTTCCGACCTGAAGGCTGTGCAGCTGTAGTCACACGGGCGCCCATCGAGAGCGACAAGGATGCATTGGCAAGAGAGCACGCCGGGCCGCGCGCACCGCATGCAAGCAGTTGATCCACAAGTGCCTGGGCAAAGGATTTGCACAGCATAGGCGGAAGGCCAGCGTCTTTGGCGCGATTGTGCGCCGGGGAGCGCCACGGCTCGTGAGCGTGGGCACCATCGCACGTCACACCAAGTTTCTGCAGGAAGGGAACCGTGTGCAGAAGGCGGGTAGCCTTTCGTCTGTAGGAGCCGAACATACACTGATGCAAGGAAGTAGAGATGAAGGGAGAGGACTGGCAAGACCGGAGTGAAGCAGTGAGCCACATGATGGATCGGCTGGGGTGAGCAATGGAACAGAATACCCCATGACTCCAACAGAAATGCCAGACCTCTGCGCACATGGCAAAAAGGGCATTAGCCCCATTGACCAAATCAAGATCAGCACCTTGAAGACCTGGCAGACCCTCAGGATGCGCTGCATTGCGGAGGACACTTGGGCGAGGGCCCGCCAAACCGACACAGCTGGTGGTCACAGGTGGAGACAAATGGCACGCAACAACATTTGGCTGCCTAAGGAGGTCGAGCAGAATGGCTCGGGATCCCGGCTTCGTAAGGTCCAGTGAGACAACGGGACATTTGCAACCACGTTGTGCATGACGGTCCAAACCAACGCTCAGCTTCATGCCCAGCTGACGCAAAGAAGCACAGAGGCCCCCCGAACCACAGAACACATCGAGGAACATGAGACTATCAAGAGGCACTCCTTGGACTTTATCAGAAACCTTAGAAAGCAAGGGTTCCAGGGCTCCGGCAGGTGGTGGGACATACGCCAACGGAGGGTTGACGGTTGACGCGGAGACCGAGGGCCTAAACCCTAAGGATTTAAGATGCTCAAAGTCAAGGCTGGGCAGCTGAGTTGCATCTCCGCCGGAAAAAAGGATAAGGACTAGTCTAACCCCCGTCCAAGGCATTGTGCAATGCAAACGTTTTCGTGCATAGAACCGCACTGGGGCCGCTGCAACATCATACAAGTCTCCAGGGACCAGGGAACCATTGACGGGTAGAGCATGGCTGCCCGACTCGGATTGAACCCAGATGTGTCCACCTGAAAAGTCGGTGACACCCAGCACAAGGTTGTCAGCATCATCGTTGTTCACATCACGGTGAACCTCAGTCTTGACGTTAAGATTCAAGGAAATCGAGCAAAATGTGAAATCTGTCAACTTGGACCCGCCGTGCTGCACGGCCCAAGAGATGGCCAAAATGACCGATTGAGGAAAAGAGCGACAGGTGTTTGTGAGGCCAACGACGCCCCCATGTCGGAAAACACCTGCAACAAAGGATCTGCCAGACTCTGAACCAAAGCGTTCATCCAGTCTAGAGGGTAACAAACTGAAAAGGCGTTCAATGCAAGATGCTGTCACAGGTTCACCAGACGACAGCACGTCTTGCGCAAATTGCTCTGCTGGATGCAAAGAGACTTGCACTCGCCGCTCAGCGGGCAAGGGAAAAACTCGCTCATCAATCACAACATTCGGGATTCGTTCACGCACTGCTGCGGCCGGCTTGGGACATGCCAACGGGCCCACCTTATCTATCTGTGCCATCATGCACTCGTGGTTTGCCGCCTGGGGCGAGACCGAAGGACTCATCGCCTCATCAACAAGAGAATCGGCCTCAGCGGCGGCAGCCTCCCGTCACTCGTTGACTTTGTAAGTCGTGCATTGAAGGAGAGAGTGAGGCTGCTCGCAGAACATACAAATGTGCAGGCCCCTTTTACAGCTCTCTCCAGGTTTCGCAAACTTACATCCAGCCTGCAGATTAAAATTCCAACACAGGCGTTTCTTAGTCTTGCTACAGTTGTGCTTCAAGCGGGAGTCGGATAACGCTTCAGGGCACTTTCCCTTACCTGCACCTTTACCGGGTCGGTGAGGAGGCAACTTCGGCTTGCCATCGGCATCACGCTTTGTGCCCTTGTCGCCCTTGCCATCGCCCTTCCACTTAGCCCCAGGAAGCGGGGCCAAATGCATCATGATTTTTGGATCGTACTGAAGCTTATCCAGAGCAGCATCCATTGGCAAGTTTCCCGCGTCATCCTTCTTCAGAGAAGTCAAGAGCTCACTCATGCGCACCCATGCCGCCTTGTCGCACCTGAGCAGCTGCTCCATCGAAACCTTAGCATAGTATGGAGGCGGCTGCTCCGATAGCTTGGCAAGCAGATGCCTGTGCCACAAGTCCATGGATGCAAAAGTGCAAAGCTGCAGAAGGTCGCAAGCAAGTGCTCTGCGACACAGGGCTTCGGAGAGCTGCAACTCATTCTGAATGCCACACTTATCCTTGTGGGCCTTGTCGCGGATACTCATGCGCGAGCCCTCATCTAAGATCAACTCTTTCCCTGGCTTTTCTCGATTCACCTCCATGGCCCTGGTTAGGAACCTGTGGGGCTCCAAATAGGAGAGGCAATCCTGATCAACGACCTGGGCGACATAAGTGTAATTGCTGAAAGCGTTTTCCAAAGGACCAGTCAAGCTGAGCCCCACGAGCCTTTTCCGCTGGTCGGCTATACGATTCATCCTCTCAGCAGGGGCCAACTCCGCTTTCTTTTCGCCTTCACCCTCAATCGAGCTTTTAAGCTGTGCAATGGACAGAGTTTGAGCTTCAAACATGAGGCGCCGCAGCGCCGACAGTGCACGCAACGGCACAGTCGTGGGGTCCGCGGGATCAAGGATGGACCTGAGCTCAGCCTCCTGCGGTACTTCGCCCGGGGTCGAGACACTGAAGGCAAGGAGCGACAAGGATGTCAAACCCTTACGCACGAGCACATCAAGCTCAGCTTGTGTCAGCCCACATTCCTTGGCCCTTTCTTCGAAAGCCGCCTGACTCTTCAGGATGGACGCCATGGAACAGAGTCGGATCCTACACGCTCAGACCTGCAATGACAAAAGGTGTGTACATGTCCTAGCTCGATAGAAAATTCAATCCCGCAAGGTCAAATCCAGCACGTCATGACACATGATCCCGCAAGGTTCTGAGCCGTCCTGCAAGTGATCGCAAAAGAAGGTATCCCGCAAGCTTCACATAGGCAAATCACTGCAGTCAAACAGAAACCCCTGAGGCCTCCAGGCTCATTGGGAACACACTTCGAAACACCACAGCACGGACTTTTACTCGGTCTTCTGAATCTTCTTCAATCGCTCGTCAAGGCAGTGCACCAAGGACCCTAAGTCCCTGATGGGCTTTCCCTTCCAGCATTGTTTGCAGCGCCAGTGCACTGCTTGAACCGCCGACGTGAACGGCTTATGGTTCGCCGTGATATCTCGGCCACATATGAAACGCTCCATGGAGCTTCCCGCAGGCTTAAGATGAAGAGTCCTGGTGTTCTTTTGCTGATAAACGGGGCACCGATCATGATACCTCTGCCCCACGGGGGGGTCTGCTTGACTCGCAGTCAGGGCTTCATCTATCTCGCTGTCAGACGAGCCTGAATCGGAACTAGACTCGCTAGACGACGAGGAGTCTGGCTCCTCCCCCTGAGACCTATCGTCTTCGAAAGCAGCATCCGGATCTTCCCACGCAGCACGCTCTGCACTATGGATTAGGGAGTCCACAGCACGACCGAAAGGGGTGTCATCGTCGCTGGCATCCCTTTGATCGCTGAGGCCAGGCTCAGAAGCAACAGCATTCGCACAAGGGAAGGCTTCTGAGTCACAAGCTGAGCCAGGGCTGACCGCCGGCCGGTACCAGTTTCTTTCCGCCTCGGTCTCGAACACGCTGTCGCCAGGCAGCTCCTCGGCCGGGTCAGCAGCTGCAGGGCCCTTTGCATAAAGACCCGACCTTGTCATGTCTGGGAGATACCTGCCACACCGAATGTCACAGTACATCTGACACAGCTCTCGCAATGGTCCAGCTTGAATGTCCCTGGAGTAGGTCACGACCGATCGTCTATCCTTCAAGGAGTGGTGCCCCAAGATGGTGCAGGAGTCCTTGGACATGTCCGTTTTGCTTGCCCACGACAGTGCAGTATGCTTGCACGAGTGACCCTTGAGATCAAACCCCATGCTCGCATCCCCAGACTTGAGGATCGAAGAAATCCAGGTCACAAACCTGCCCGTCGGAATCCGGCGACCACTCCAAGACCCATTGAGCATAGGCGACTGCAGCAAAGGCAGGCTGCAGGATCCGGTGGCGACCGGATGGCCCGACAGGCGCCACACTTCAACCCAAGCTTTGGCCCAAAGACCTTGACCCACACCCCGCTCGGGGGCCACTAGGCTCAACTCGAGCCCCAACGGGTTACCTGTCGAGGCACACTTGTGTGACGTCGAGATGCACTCAAGGAAACCTTCACCCTCCGCAAAATCGATGAACATTGCCTTGACTGCCCTCACATCCCCTACACGGGCTCGTGAGTGAATACAAAACAAGCAAGCACCTGCAGCATACCTATCCCTTGCATCACGGCGGCTGTCCTGGACAAAAGCCTCAAGGTATGCCACCTCTCGAACCTGGAAAGGCCTGGCCTGCACACGAGGCGGACGGTTGAACCGCACCTTGCGAAGTCGCCCTTGCACAAGTGGGTGCTTATGAGGCTCACCAATGGCATCTACACCCAAAATGAATCTAGCGAAGTTGCAAGCTTCAAGGCAAGATCCGAACACAGAATGCGAGGCACCACTCTGCTGCAAATGCTGGGTGTACTCAATCAACACCTGAGAGTCAATCGGGAAAGCTGACATGCCTTGGTTCGAGCACCATCCCACCAGGCGGGCGAGACTGGACAACCGCTTTTTCAAAGTCGAGAGAGCCTTGCCACCCAGGGCTTCGGCAACAAGACTGACCCGATCTGTTTCGCACTTGTCCTTCAACAGTCTGCCAAGGGAAGAGCATTCGTATGCATGACTCAAGAGGACATCGTATCTTGCTGCAAGCAACTGCAATTGTTCCTCCTCAGTTTCTTGGGGCTTCTGAAATTTCCTGGCGGAGAAAGCGACCTGCACAAACTGCGAAGCATGCTCTTGGGGGTGAGCCTTGGCAACGGCCTCCTCGAAAGAAGCGGAGTCAAGGGGTTCCGTTTGCAGAGGGGCCGGCACACTGCACTGGGAAAGGGAATCTAAGTCGCTCTGCGAGAAAACTGCTTTCATCACTCCGCGCTCCCAAGGCATTTTAAGGGAGTGCTTAGACACATGTTTGTCTGCAGCAAGCAACAGCCTGTCGAGCGGCCGCGCCATACCCCAGATAATGCGGGCGCTCACTGGCCGGGAGTCTAATCAGACACAAAATGTCGGAAGGCTTGCTGGGCTCGCTGCAGCCACCGCTCAATCCAGGTAAGGCGCACTGCGGAGTGGCTGTGCGATGCCTGCAACTCCTGAACCTGTTCCTGCAACAGAAGCAGCTGAGCTCGCAAGGTGTTAACTTCCAACTGAAGATCCCAGATGTGCTGAGACAGCACGTCGTAATCACTGGTGCTAGTAGCACCACTGCTAGCGGAGCCCGCCTCTTCCATCTGCCGCCCTCCCAGTGGAGGGGGCGTGCACGGGCTCCTAGGGAGCAGCCTTGCGATAGCACCCGGAACCTGTTAGATGCAGTACAGGTCTCTAGTGGGGCCTCACAAAAATTTTCTCACGCCTGCAAGCAAAACTTGAGCCAAAATGGCTACGGAAACAATTTTTCCAGCATGAAAACAATCAAATAAGAAAACATCCCCCTTCGGGAGAGTTTGTTCAAGGCGGCCCGCCAGCGGAGAACAGCACTCCCGAGAAGCAAGCCCGAGCTCGCTGGATAAACTGCTCCAGCCACTGCAATCTGGAGGCCTGTCTGGCTTGCTCTTGCTCAAGGACCTCAATGCGTGCAATGGCCTGCAGAAATCGATGCTGCAGGCTGTTGTGATCAAGCTGCAGGCGATGCAAGTGTGAGCTGATAAGCTCCACTGAACTGGTGGCCGAACCCGAGTCAGAGGCAGCCCCGTCGGAACGACCTGACGAACCCGCAGCGAGGGCGTCGCCGAAGTCCATGGGACGACCCGGCGGCCTAGTTCATGAACACCTAGGTTGCAAAGTGTTTGTTGTACAAAGCATCCGACCTAGCCTGCAACGATGAGAGTGTGTCCCTGCACAAATCAAAAACGCAAGAGCTCTCTCGTGAGCCGGCTTCGCTGCAGCATTCGATAAAGATGCGTAAAGGCTCAAAGCAAACATGACATGCCGCATGCAAAAGGAGGGAATACAAAATCGCAACAGGCCCGCAGGCAAAAGCAAAATGGTTTGATATTTAAACAGGATCGAGTAAACACGATAACCGTGGTGGTAATTGTCCGGATGGTCCACTAGCCTCCGTAATCCCAATAGAAGCACTTGGATCGGCAGACCACAGGCGTTGCTCAGCAATTCCGCATCCCCGCGCAACACAGACCCGTGCCTCCCCCCCGCACACAGGCCCGTGGTGGTTTCTGAATTTCTGGAAACATGTGGACGAGCAGGATTCTTCCAGACGCTGTTTGTGTCAACTGGCATTTGATTTTTGGTGTTTTTCAGTCTGCCTCAAACTGTTAGAAGTGCTTTTTGAGTCAGATTACTGACCACACTCGTTTTGTATCGTTTCCTTCCGTATGCTGTCAGCTCAAGAAAAAATCGAGTGCTGCACACTCTGTTTTTTTGGTAGCGGACTTCTGAGAGCTGTCAAGCGCCGCGGCCTCACCCGTACAAGGTTGGAGTTGAAGGTTCTCCCAGAAGGTACCTGTGCCTGAGAAAGACATGGACTTTGACTTGTTTAGACCAGATCCTGCTTGTCCTATGAGTCCGCCTGCAGCTCAAAGGTGGAAGTGTTCTTGCTGCTGTGTCTGGAACGCCTGTTCGGCCACCAGTGCCGCCGACGTCCACTTTGGGTGCGGACCAACTGCAGCACACGCGGCTCCAAATGTGGAGTCGAACAATCCAAGCAATTTTGGTTTCGCTTGAGTGGCCTCCCTCTGTTCTCTCATGTCTATCACTTCCACCGGCAAGCTGTCTGTTGGAAATTCTTGTTCTTGGAGAATGATTTTTCCACACTGGATGCCTGTCAGCGACTTCCCGCCCGTCGTGGAAGCCACCGCCCTCTTGGTAGTCGTGTGTGACGATGATCATGGACAGCATCGAGCCCAACTGCATTTACGGGGACCGGATAAAACGCTGACTGGGCGGCGTGGACAATCCATGACGGCCAGCTGTTTTTTCCCGGTCTTTGACACGCTCAGCCCCTATGCGGTTACACTTGATGACGAGGATGGTTATAAGCTCTCCTTGTATGGATTGCGCATACGGGGGGAATGCGACGGTACCTCCGACTCGACTCTATGATGCCTTCGAGGACACGAGGTTCCGTGGCATCAAAGGCCGCGTGGAAGTTGGTCCCGCAGCTACGGATGTCCATGCGAACGGGCACAACACTCGATGGGCGGTTGCTTCCCTCCCAGGCAGCTACTACTTTGCCCACATTGCTACTGACCACACCACGCAGGAGCTCATGAGCTTCCTTCGTTTTCGCTTCAGGATGTTGGTCGGGGCAGGGATTGACATTGTAGCTATTCGCTTCAGCGACGATGGCACCCTCTCCACAGGGCTCTCGGCAGCTGGGTATGATAGGTGCGGCCAGGCCACCCTTCAGCGAACGGTTAGTTCAGGAGCCGGGGTTAAGGAGGACCCCGTCTATGTGCACGAGTTGTATAGCGCAGGCTGTCCCAATGTCTTCCAGATCAAGCCATGGCAGGAGGATTTTGCTGAGTTGATTAGCGCACTGGACGCGCGCCCAACCCGGCATTGTCCCACCCTGACAGGGCTTATGAGCAATGTGGCGCCCACGGATGATCCTGCCACACTAACCTTGCAACGAGAAATTTTCCATGAGTGGCGCTCCAAGGCGGGGGAGCCGCCCCCACGCAAGCAGGCTGCGCGAGACCACTTAGAATATTTACGCCACATTCTCCCCTCTGGAGCGGCTTGTGACACCTTGTTGTCACTACCGATGTCCCTCACGGCAGGGTCAATTCGGATTAACGTTGACCAATTTGGATGTGACATTTGCAGCTTTGCTGACAGAGCAATGCGGCTCAGATGCTGCACGGAGGACGAGGCGTGGCGCCTCTGCGTCAACCCTCTCATTGCTGTCAGTGCTGCGCTGGCGGAGCTCTGCGAACCGCTCCAACATCTTCCGGACGACCAAGCCCATGACCTTTCGTGGAGAGAATTGGCGAGACCGCAAGTTTGGTGGTGGCTACTAGTGACTAGTGGATGAGATCGCCGCGCAATGGCAACAGGCAGATCAGGCCACCACGTCCTCTCCCTTGGCCAGGGACGGCAGTTTCATTGTCATGGCCCTGGGGGGACCGGGACGACGCCTTTCCCCACTACAGTATTGCAGTGCCCTTCTGAAGGAAATTGAAGTAGAGGTGCAACCTCCGACAGCGAAAAGTGCAGTTCGAACTGTTCTTTTTGAGGGAACGCAACAACCGGTCTGGCAGCAAATGCAAGGCAGAGGCAAGAAATTTGCAAATGGGTCTCTGCTAAAAGAGCAAAAAAAATCTGGCGAGAGCCAGGTGAGCCCATGTCGTGCATGAGGGGGTTTTGGAGTTAAGCACCGTGCACAAATTCCGAACCGTCAGCCACACCTCTCGATACCATAACTCTGCACAGCTCAAGAAGTCCTGTTCAGATCTGGTGGAGATACCTTCCAGAAAATTCCGCCGCTCTTGTATGATCTGTTCCGGCCGACCTTCTCGATACCATAACTCTGCATGGCTTGATCTGCTCTGTTCAGAAATGCAGAGTCACCTCTGCAACAATTTCCCTGTCTTTGTACGATCTCAAAGCTGCACAGTTATGAGGCTGTCGGTCCGTAGCCTTTGGCTCAAGGCGTCTCGGCTCAAGAAACTCCTAAAGGGATTTCTGTTGAGACTTAGTAGGGTGGGAGTCCGTAACTAGTAGCCTTGTTGCTAGTTAGTTGGCCCCCTCGCTGTCGAGGGCTTAGGGGAAGGCTCGGGAAGGCTCACAGTGTAGGGCGTGAAGACCCACCTCTAAGAAGGTAGGCTGCACCATTGCTGTGGAAAGCGAGCGTTGGCAACGGAATCTCTCAAGAGTGCCGTTTTCCAATTGTGCGGAAAGGCCCCAATCAGCAAGTTTGGTGCGAAGTTTGCCCACTAAGGCCCAGGTGTGGTAGGTGTCCCTCTGACATACGTCAGTCGGCTTTTTGTTGACCGTTTATAGGGCCTGCTGTACATGCCCATAAAGACACGCTCTGTGCGTCCTTACCCGGACGATTGCATTCAGGTAAGCCTGGTGAAACAAGAGTGGTGACCCTCTGCAAGCCAGATTTTGTAGTCACTAAGAGTCCTCCTTGCCAC